CAAGACAGAAAAACATTTAAAAATTTCGTTCCGATGAAAAATCGTCCGGATACTGAAGCATCCAGATATCTGGCGTCCGGATATCTGAGGGTTCACTGTATATGATTTTAAAGAATTTCTTCCTTAGAAATGTAGCTATGGGTACTATAAGTTGGATTACAATTAGTACAATTAAATCCCAGTTCATCTAAATTACAAATTGAATTGAAACCACGAGCCTTACAAACAAAGACGACGTTGTTATCCAGGACCAGTACATACAAACTGCAAGAACCGAGGGGAATAATAGAAGGTTGGATTATATGCAAGTTATTATTATTGTTTTTTTAAAATTTTTATATTATGATTATTATTATTTGATTTTTATGAACAGGGTAGTATTTTTGTCTAAAAGTTTTTATTGGACTCATGATGTGTCCTTGAAAATTGAAAATTTCCTCTTGGTTGAAGACAAGTGTTAGGAATGTTTCCAAATATATATAAAGCACAGGTGTTTACAGAATTTTAGTGACTTATATTTGTAAAGTTTTAACTTGATGGTTGTTCTGTATACAATTTGAGTTATTTCAATGAACTGTTGAGCTTCATTAATCCTCAAAAAGTAACGGATTCCGATAGAAACCATTCGATTTTCGATGAGCAAGACAATGGTTGATTCAATCTGCTTGTTTGAAGTCATGTTTGAAGTCTATTTAAGCACACACACGTTTTCTCTTACACTTGATAAGTGCAATTGTTAAAAAGTGTAAAGACAGAATAAGGTCTGAAGTAAAATATCCTTTTCTAAAACCTGCTTAATTTTATTGATTAAGTTCAGTTTCAGCTAAATGCATTCTTTCTTGTTTGCATGATCAACATATATTTTATTTCTTTTAAGGCGATTTATTTATTATTTATTGTAATAAAGTGTGACATATCAATGGAATCACGGATGCTGAAACGTCACTATAATGTATCCAGTATTTTACATTTATTGACTGAGATCGAGGGCAACATTCGTTTTGTAGGACCCAAGAACCAAACTGTCTGCCTGAGGCCGTTAGGCCGAAGGCAGACAGTTTGGTTCGAGGGTCGACAAAACGCATTTTGCCCGATAACTCCGTCAATAAATGTTTTGTTATACCTTTTATTTTATTTCATCTTTTTGAAATGAAATTTCATAAAATGAAATGACATAGAAGTATTTTGTACTGTCTTCCGTGGTGTAACATTACGTCCGTCACTGTTGAACACCAACAAATGAAAATGAGATTAAGCTCCGCCTATTCTGTGACGTAAGCGGTCCAAAATATCATCGACCTGTCCAACATTTCACTCAACAGTCTAACATCGATTTTTTTTTATGATCGCTCAGCAATACATTAGAAATGTTAGACTTTCTTCGTAAAGATTTGTTTAGGAACACATCTTTAAAGGTATAACAATATGATTTAAAACCCATTAATTTTTTAATTGTAAAATATTCAAACGCTGTTTTATGAAAAGTTTACTTAATTCATTTGGATGTACATGTTATGAGAATGTTAAAACGTATTCTTTGATATAAAATAATCATACTTTTAAAACCAATGAAGGACATTGTGCCAAACTAATAAAGAATTTAATTTCTTCGTTGATCATGATGTTCTAGCCTGTGAAGTAGGCACGTTTGGAGACAGGTGTACGGGAGGACCCTGTGTCTATGGATACTATGGATTTGGTTGTCAGAGTAAATGTAACTGTACGTCCGACCAGTACTGTGACAGGAAGACAGGATGTTTTCATAATTCTACAAAAGGTAAGAACTATATGCGGTTGAAACGAAACTTACCTCGTTTTTAGAAATTGAAATTAATTTATTTATTTTGTATTCGGAATGCTAACATTAAACGCTGCTATGCCGATTTTAACAACGCATGTAGAATTTTTTAAATTTTATTTCTTTATATACTGACAATAAGCAATCAAATAATTAATATCTGTAAACTGTTGATGATGGTCAGTTTTTGATTCAAATACGATTTAATATGGAAGGCAACTGAAATAATTAAGATATATTTGATGTATTAAAAAGAATTCTTTTGATTTGTGTTGAAAATGGGATATTGTAAGTACATAAAAAGAAAATAAATTACTTGGAGATTTCTGTAAGATTTTTTTTTAAACTTAAGATTTTATACTTTAATTTTAACCAGACCCAGGGAGTGCAGTATTTGAGGAAAAGTCATATAGTAGTACAATTATTACCGTTATAATAACGGCGGCTATTCTTAGTGTAATTTCCATACTAGCTGCCATTGTCTTCCTTTATAATAAAAAGTAAGTTATTTTGAAGCTATTGTGTGTATGGTTATTTTATAAAATTATCTAAATTTTGATTTCCTTTGCTTAATTCTACGGAGGCAAAACGTTAATTAAAAAAAATACAATATAGCCTAATGAATATTAGGGTTCAAAAAATAAATAATAAATAAATACATGGATCCTCATGAACTTTTCATTACATATCTTTATTCCTGAAAAGTCGGAACCGACGATCTTTCTATTAATAATAATAGATGTTACTTTATAGATTAGAGTTTATACGCCAGTTTTTGACAAGTAAGTACCTGTATGCTCTCAAAATGCTTTAAAATTATAATATAAAAAAACAGATATGTCTGCAATAACATTAAGAATAATATTATAATTCTTTAATTTTCTAAAAAAGTTATTAATTATAAACTACAGAAAGAATGTGAGATATATTATTCATTATCATGGATCGCGTTTACATTTTTTTTAAAATAAAAATTAAATACTATTCATATCTTAAGAATAAGATTTATTCTGGATTTTCCTTTTCAAAATAATTTTGTTTTAGTAAGCAAATCAAAATCAATCTTTTATGAAGGACGGGAGACAACCCGGCCTGAAAACGCAGATTCAGTGAGAGGGCAAGAGGATTACTCTCAATGGACTAGGAACTCAAACAGTTACAACATGCTTAGCACCAGAAGATTCAATGTAGACTCCAAAATGAACGCAATAGACGAGGTAGGCGTCTACCATCATGTTGACGAAGGAATATTCAACCGCCATAGTACGTCTCAGGACAAGTACGATGCCATAGTTCTCAGCAAGATCCCTGTGATGCATATGTCTGCAATTGATGACAATAAGGAAAATGTTCATGGTAAAAGGAACAATGTTTCTAATAACACAAGTGGTATATCAAGAGAATGTTATTCACTTGCTTTCAATTCGGATAATTCATCAGAATCTGCAAGGGAGAATACGAAATGCACTTGAAATGCAAACAGGAAGACTTAAAAAAGAAAAGCATGATCATGTTATCTTGGTGCGAATTTAAGTGTTTCATATTATGTTTTCATTGAAGTGCTTCCTTAACCACAGCTGTTATAAATTACGCACCTATATCTTAAGAAATTTAATTATCTCTCTCACACACACACGTCTGTGATGCATATAGGTACAGTCCCTATTTACCAATCTCTCTTTTTCTTTTTCTTCACAAAATCCCAGATCAAGCAATCCCAGTCACGTGCTGTTTAGCGCGAATGGACGAGTCGTATGTCTCGATGGTTCCCTATTCCTTCTGAATTAAAAGTAGAAGAACGCTAAAATAAATCCATTTTCAAAGACTTCAATATATCTCTGTTATATTTCCTAATCAGATAAAGCAAGACGGATGTGCCAACTCCAAAACCTCCTTGAGATTCCCGGGTTCCGGGGGTTGGAACCCCCCCTTTATTTTGGAGAGTGAGAGGGGATAAAACGTTTTCCGAGATTATATACATTTGTATTTGTACGTCCCACTTATTTATTGAATAAAGAGATTCTCACACATTAAGTTTCCTCCAATCACCTTCTCTATTATACTTTTTTATGAGAGAATGGTAGAAAATATTCTACTTATTTTTATATATCTAGATCTTGTATGCAGCATGCAAAGTTTAATATGAAATTGGATTCCCACGATCATTGGCTGTGTTGGCTATACTTGTACCGTTTTTTATCATATCTAGATCTATTAAAGGAACTAACATGTAACTCTGTTTTAAAGCCCACCCGCATCCCACCCCCAAAAAAGTTTTCAAATTCTTCAAGAAAATTCTTTATACTCTTTGGAAATGATACAAATCCATTCAATTTTAAGGCTTCCGTAGTTTTTGAAACGTGTTTTTTTTTTGGGGGGGGGGTTGTTTTGTTTATTTTGTATTTGTTGTTTTGTTCGTACTGGGGTACGCTTTTTAAAAAAAAAAAAAAGGCCATAAAACAAAGATAGTATTTAGCACAACCTTAGATATTTCCATACAAGTCTGTGAATCTTTGCTTGAGAGTATGTATTGGGGGGGGGGGGGTAAGAGGGGAACAACCCTGGAACCACCCCTTTCAAAAATTGCTGGATCCGCCCCTGCAATGCCACTATGATAATAGTGCCTGGTTTTATTCTTAAAGTATACGAAAACCCTAGAGCTTCAAGGGGGGGAGGTCACTCCCTTCGCGTCACCCAGGACCCACCGGGGGCCTTACGGCGGCCCCAGACCTCTTTCCTAAACGAGGTTATACACGCCCCCTCTCCAAATCCTGTATCCGCCTATGGTATATAAATGATTAGTCCTTTAGAATCAATTGATCAAGATACCGTAAGACGAAGAAGAAAAAAAAATAATCTGTCCTTGATAATCTTGAAAATAAATAATCTGTCCTCGACAGGCATGAAAATAAATAATCCGTCTCAAAAAAATTTGCCAGCCCCCCCCCCGGATCAAATGGTCGTCCCCTTAGGCCTACAGGTACATTCTCGAAAGCGGTCCCCAAACATGCACGCCTCGAAGTGTGTTGACGACGTTCCAGTAGCAGTGGAAAGGTTTACATATCAATGCTTTCAAACTTATTGAAAAAAGCAATGTTTATGCATTATAGATACAAAAGTTTCAGAATACATAACACATCGCAAACTGAAACATAGCATAAATATGTTACATACATGTTACATACATGTACGGAACATTAGGCCTAAGTGGTCCTCAGATGCGTGCAGACGACGACAGCTTCGTAATTTCTTTTTTATTGCAACTTAGGCTCGTAGTATATCATAAATTTTCTTTGATGTTGTAAATGCAGAATATCTATCCCAAATTTATAGACATACCGTACGAAAATAATACGATAACATAGATCTATAATACTGAGCTGTTTACATTCGCTAGGAAACTAAGTCGCTTCATTCTGTGGCGGCCTATGCGGGTTAAAAAATGGAACATTTCTGAAACATCATAGAACATGTAGAAATTATTTGATTCTAAACTACAGGCTTGGGTGTATAAAAACAAAGTTAGATAGACAAAATAATGATTTTACATTTTTTGAACAATGGTATTACCAATAATTATAATCAACTTTTTTCTAAGATAATTTTTTCAGGTAAGTCTTGGTGTCACAAGAATCACAAATGAAGAACTTTAAAAGAGAGCAGGGTTTTAGAACCACCAAAATTAGATGGAGAAAACCATGCAAATCAGATTGAGAAAGTGGGACTGGATTTGACTAATCCCAGGGAAGCCACAATCTAACACCACAAACCAATACCCAATCCATAACCCACAGGGCAAGAGAAAGAGAGGACATCTAACAAAATATCATGAAGTTAATTAAGATTCCTGATAAGTTTCCATGATACGGAAACTACTACCTTTCCATTCCCTTAGGTTTCCAACCTATGGAAAATCAAGGTTTTCTATATGAATCCAAGCAGTTTCCTATTCATGGAACCTTTAAGATTCCTGACTAGTTTCCCATCCACGGAAACTACTACGCTCCAATTCCATAAGGTATCCCAAGGCAGGAAGCCAGTGGAGTCTTCAGGTTTCCTTATGGTATCCAAGTGGTTTCCAAAACATGGAATCTTTGAGATTCCCGACTAGTTTCCCATCCACGGAAAACCTACTATGCTCTGATTCCATAAGGTATCCCGAGGCACGGAAGCCAGTGGAATCTTCAGGTTTCCTTATGGTATCCAAGTAGTTTCCAAAACATGGAATCCTTGAGATTCCCGACTAGTTTCCCATCCACGGAAACACCCTACGCTTCGATTCCAATAGGTATCCCGAGAAACCAGTGGAATCTTTAAGATTCCCGTATGGGAAACTTACGGAATCAAGGGAAACCTCGCGATTCCACTGGATTCCAAGCCTTGGGATACCTAATGGAATCGGAGCGTAGGGTGTTTCCGTTGCATAGAATCAAGGGGGAATAACCCAGTATCCCGCACGGAAACCACAAGGAAGCATAACGTAATCTGGAGGTTTCCATATGGTTTCCATAAGGTTTCCCACAATGGGAAACTGGTTTTTTCACCCAGTGAACACTAACATACACTTTTCTTGTCTTTAAATTATTCCTTGGATATAACACTTTCAGAAAAATATAAGCATGTGGGAAGTTTGATGCACGTTTTTTTCGGATATGAGAAGAATACATCCTTAAACAAGCAATTTACGCCTCTAGATTTTCTGTGCACAGTTACAAAGAATTTCTCCACTTCAGCATTCGTCAATCAATGACCTTTCACTCTCCATTATAGGACACATTCTGTTATTAACCTTTATATTTTATCCAACCACCCAACCCTTGTAATTCATTTCTACAGATCGATAAACTCGCTTGCTTAGAATTTTCTGTCATCCGACCAAAAAATCCAAAATCAGATTTAACCACTTTACATGAAAGTATAATATTCAAAAGTGCTGAATAGTCACATGACACAATTCTAACTAAAAAAAATAACACAGCCAATAGTATAAATATTAGGAACTCTGAATGAACTTGGAAAGTTAGGTGCTCTCTGTGAATCTTTTTCTGCATCGTTGGAAGTTTCGATGTGGTAATGACATTAATGCAAAAAAAAACAAGTCATGACTGAAGGGTGAAAATTCACTTAGATTGATTGATTGCATGTTGTGTATCGTCCATCTCGAGAATTTTTCACTCAAATGTAGACGCCACCAATTGCCGGTGGAGAGCTGCAAAATTTGTCCTATACTCGGCACTGAGAGCAATTGAGCAGGGGAGATCTTTTTTCGTGCCAGCACCTACTGCGACACGGAAGCTCGGTTTATACGGGCTCATCCGAAGGACCGCTCTACATGTCCCGCAGTGGAGTTCAAACCCGCGACGTAAGGATCAATTCCTTACTTCGCAACACTAGAGCAGACACTCTAACCACTGCGCCACAAGAGCGACAGCTTATTTGACTATATATATAAATATATATAATAGATGCATTTATGTATGTCATGAATGTAGGCATATGGAGGATATGGAGATAACAAACAGTATTCAATATCAAAGTCCATAAAACAATACAAAATAGGAGCAGAGCAAACACGGACCTCCGAAACATCAGCGATAGGATCAGGTGCCATGGAGGAGTGAGCATCCCCTGCTGACCGGTCGCACCCGCCGTGTGCTCTTTGTCATGATCAGGAAATAACAGAAAAACCTGTCGTCAATTCAATGTATGAATAATGGACTAACAATTAGTACGAAAAACGTCAGTCAGCATTTGACTCAATGATAAATTGTATTTGCTGTCAAGGTCATTGTATCGACCATAGAGCTTACAAAATGTTGACTTTAAACGAGATTGCTGGTATTCTTGTTTCATCAACTTGTTTGTCAATAATTTACCTCGTTTTAGAAATTGTTCGCACATAGAGCATGCTCTTGCGTATCGAATCAACTGAGATCTATATACGGAGACTCCGTATGCAGGTGATGAAGCTGTATTGCTGCATAAGTAAGCGAAGTTGACGATAGAAAAGTTAAAGTTATCACGTTCATCATATAGCTTAGTTGTTAGATTACCATTAACGTCTTTTTCAAGTAAAATATCCAAGTGTGAAACAAATGTGTCAGAATCTGTTATATCTTTTATCTCAAGCTCTCCACGATATATCATATCGACGTAGGAATGGAAATTACCATTGTTAATTGACAATACGTCATAGATATATCTAAATGCTGAGTTGAAGGCCACAGCAAGTGTTTTCTTCTTTTCACTCATAAGATTTTGCACAAATTCTGCTTCATATGAATACAAAAATAAGTCTATAATAATATATATTATAGTTGACACATGTATTTAAATGAAAATAATTTTTTGAAGGCTGATAATATAGTCTGTCATAGGTCTATCAGTTGTCTTGCTTTACAGTATTCATTGTCAACAAAAAGTTTAAATAAATATATCTTTCAAATTATTTCTAAATATTCATTTTCTTGATCATTGCATACAGAACTTTTTCCGGTTCTTTCTTTTTTCAAACAAGTATCAACAGCTTCATAATCTGCATTTGAATCTTTTCGTCTTTCACGAACAGGATTAGCATAAAACTGTGGCTAAGAACATAGATCCAATACACCTTGACTCTCTTTGAGATTTCATTCTGAAGAAAAACAAACAATGAAAATATTTGAACTTCTCATTTGTGCAAAAAATCATGAAATCCGGTTCATTTATCGAAATTACGATTTTCTACTTTAGAGCTTTGTAAATAATTGACTATATCTAAATTAGTTTTTTATTTGTCAGGAACTTATATATAATATTTAATATTCAAATGCCATAATAT